GTGCTCTGGATCTACTACACACCTCTCTTCGACAGCTCACTGACCACGCCCACATGCAATTTGGCACAAAGATGCTTTGAGTTTTCTTCTGACATTTTGGTTGTATTGAGTTTTCAAAAGTAACATGTCTATCACCATAATAATTTGTGTTCGTTCCACAGTGCCAGGTTTTCCCTAACAGGTGTTCTCCGTCATTCCCTTACAGATAAGCTAGAGATCACTCCTACTGTACATCAGCCCCACCATGTTTCATTTCCCCCAACAGATTTTACTCTGGCTCCTGATCCTCAACAGCTAAGCTATGCTACTGTACTGTACCTCGACGGCAGGTTTCGGTCCACCCGCTGATGCTTCCCGTCCTCAAGCCATATCCTTTACGATTGAATTTTAACAGCATATTATCAAATAATCAGTCTAACTTCTGGAGTTCCTACTCAAGGGTTTTAGTATTTGGTGCGCTTCTTATACTGAAAAAATATACTGTGGTTCTTGTTTGTGTACAGTATCTGTTGTTATAGGCCATTTTCGTGAAATTTGAAATGAAAATTTCTGATAACCTGGCAACTACCACTGGGGGACTTCCAGAGGCCTATGCACTTCGCGCTACGTACAGGGGTACTGTAGTTACCAGTGTGTGCGCAACACTCTATCTGACACTAGCTAGCTGCTCAGTCTAGGCCAGGCTGCTGGAAGTCCCCCAGTGAGTTGTGAGACTTTGGAGGCATTATTTCAAAAGAAACCCGATAAATATGGCACAGTAGTGGCAAGGAAGAAGATATTTTCTTGTCGTATTTTTAAATTGGAAGCTAATGATTGCTTTTTATTATGAAAAGTAAAGCAAATCAAATATTGATTATTTTTTTTAAGCTCAAGGAAATGACAATATTATTTATAGCATTTCACTTCAGGAACTGCACAGCTGACCTACAAAAAAAATCCCTTTGAAAGCAAATTGCTAAATTGTGCTTATTTACAGATTATAAAATTACATGGTTCAGTAGAAAACAGAAAAAATATACAAATTACTACAATTTTGAAGGATAAACTACATTCCAGATCTTTAATCAGCCTTACGGATTTGTGTACATGATATACTCATTCAGCCAAATTGATATCAAATGGAATAAAAGCTGATAGCTACAGTAGTTTATGACATATAACAAATGTTACTTCGAATAATGAAAGGAAGGCCATGATTTGAAGTTTCAACCTTTATTGGGTCATCTTCAGGAATGAGAAAACTATAGACACTGATTAGTGTATGTATTGAAGATGACCCAATAACGGTTGAAACGTTGAATCATGGCCTCCCTTTCTTTATTTGGAGAAATGTTTGTTCTACAGTACTGTATGTTATTTAAACATAATTAGTGGATCTGACATCAGAATGACAAAATGAAAACCTTTATTTTTGGAAATAACTAGTCTACCCATTTGTACTTACTGTATGAGAAAGAACATTTGACCATCTGAAAATAACAATGTATTACACAAGTTCTTAAAGGCCAATGCAGAATACAATTATTACCATTGCTTGTGTACTAACGAGGCATTATTAGCTTTCATTGTCTTTGTCGTTTTTGAAGTACAACACTTCTAATAAAATATGGGAAGGACATTATGATTTGTTTCAATTGCAATTACTGTACTGGCATACTAACAAGGCATCAAATTTGATCAGAATTAATAGTTTAATGAAGTACAGTTGAACGATGTTCAACTTCAAACAGACATGTAAATGATTTGTTTCATTATGAAATTCCAAGGATGTGTTTCTACTGAAAATGAGCTACTCAAGTTGTTCTTGCCCTGGTAGTCATAAAAACTGAGTCTGTGCCAAAGAATGTTCTTTTCCATGACAGAATCTTTACTTTTTAAGGGACTGGTTTCTACATTACTGCTACCACAAATCATTCAGACGAAGTACAGTGTATCTAAACTTTCTTTCATATATAAGAACCAGTAAAATTTTGCCCAGCCTCAAAATGTTCGGGTATTGCTTAAACCCCACAAACCTCAAAAAACCACCGCAAACCCCAGTAAAATCTCTTGATTATGACAGTCATGTACCGTAGTTTAAGACTCACTTGGTACCACAATAATATAAAAAAAAATTAATTAAGTTTATATTCATTTTTTTTTTTTCACAAAAAATCAACATTTTTCCTCCTAAAAACTCCAAAAGTCTCAGTTTAAAAACACTTTCAAAGATAGTGCCATACCATGAAGGAAAATCGCTTCTGATGATTAATGTAGTAATTGATTATATAACCTTTTTAAACATTTACTTTACTGATACTGTATACTGCGCCTAACCTGATTTGTTGGTTTACCTAGGTTTTTTTTTTTAAATAAAAGCCTAATTTAAAATTTTACCTCGGCCTCAATTTGTTTTGATTTTTAAAGCAATTTTAGTCTCAGTGTTCTAATGTGTATCTAATTTAATTCATCTTTTTCTCACCATAAAAAACCGTTGTACATATCTAATACTTCTTATGTTAAATGGATTACGTACAGCTAACTAAAAACTTTAAAATGCTTAAAAGTCTGTAAATTAAATTATGAAGAAAGGCACAGGTACTGTAGCCCATGAAAAACTGTTTTTGGTTTTTAGTTCAGAAATACAAAAGATCGAGAAGGATTACATAAGATAAGCTCCAAGATTACAAATGTATGCATCGAACAGGCGTTCGCAGTGGCGGATTTAGAGAGGGGGGGGTCGGGTGTAAGGGGCGATTCCCCCTCTATTTTTTGTGAAAAATTTTTTTTGTATAAATAGCTTATCAGTAAATTACCAAGCTAAATAGTAGAAATCAATCAAATACAACATCTATTAATTAAAGGTGCTAGAGGTTTATTAAAGGGAGATTAGCCCGCTTGCATCCCTACCAAGCCTCTTCCTTAAGCAGTCAATTCACACATTCACGCCCCCCACCCCAACCACCTCATTCTTGCAGGGCTGGATCTGCCCCTGGTTAGCATGCATTCACAGGATGGGTATTCAGGATTACAGGCTTAGTCAAGCTATAATTTTAGCTTTACAATTATTCAAATTCTACAGTAGGTATCTTTAAATACATAAGTTCATGAATTCCAACAAATATTATATGAACTTGATGGATGAGGGCAGTGTTGCATTATTAGTCTAGCATGGATCTTGGTTTATGGTTACATTATTGGTACTGTATTATTGGTAAAGTCCAGCTCAATTGTTAAATTGTAATTTTTTAATCATGTGATCACTATGGAGAGCCTAATTCTATGTTTGTTAAAATGTAAACATCCTGAGAAACCTATCATGCTTTCTCCAACAACAATGATATTTTTTACTACAAAAATCATTAATACATTGCTTAATACCAGCCAATGTCAAAAAAATATTTCAGCATGTTAATTGGTAAAGAAAGAATTTTCTTATTCTAATTTTCAATTGAAAGGTAGGTTCAACTAATTGCTAAAGATGACTCAATATTAAGGAGAAAACATTGAATCATGTCCTCACTCTTATTATTCGAAGTAACATTTGTTCTATATACCAAAATATTTAAAATATTGAATTGTGTTCTAAGGATTTTAGTACTTACACAAGATTCTGTATTTAAACAACAAATGGAGACTGAAAACTATTCTTTGTCACACATGTTCCTACAGTATTTCAGCAACTATAATCACTATAAGTTTTCCATCTTTTTTATTATACATGATATTTAGCTAGCTGGCCCTGTTCTATGATAAATAATAAGGCCCAATAAAAAAAATTATTAGTTTATCACCCTCGTGCGCAATTCTTCTATAGTACTGAAAAAAATATTTGAAATTTTTTTTTTCATTAAATAGTTAGTAGATATTGTTTGTATATATCTGAATAATGTTTTTCTTTGAATATCAATGAACCAGCAAACAACCCAAGGGTGATATTGGCTTTAGCAAAATAAAAAATATATTATTGGTAAAGTCCAGCTTAATTGTTAAATTGTAATTTTTTAATCATTTGATCACTATAGAGAGCCTAATTCTATGTTTGTTAAAATGTAAGCATCCTGAGAACCCTATCATGCTTTCTCCAACAACAATGATAATATTTTTTACTACAAAAATCATTAATACATTGCTTAATACCAGCCAATGTCAAAAAAATATTTCAGCATGTTAATTGGCAAAGAAAGAATTTTCTTATTCTAATTTTCAATTGAAAGGTAAGTTCAACTAATTGCTGAAGATGACTCAATATTAAGGAGAAAACATTGAATCATGTCCTCACTCTTATTATTCGAAGTAACATTTGTTCTATATACCAAAACATTTAAAATATTGAATTGTGTTCTAAGGCTTTTAGTACTTACACAAGATTCTGTATTTAAACAACAAATGGAGACTGAAAACTATTCTTTGTCACACATGTTCCTACAGTATTTCAGCAACTATAATCACTATAAGTTTTCCATCTTTTTTATTATACATGATATTTAGCTAGCTGGCCCTGTTCTATGATAAATAATAAGGCCCAATAAAAAAAATTATTAGTTTATCACCCTCGTGCGCAATTCTTCTATAGTACTGAAAAAAATATTTGAAATTTTTTTTTTCATTAAATAGTTAGTAGATATTGTTTGTATATATCTGAATAATGTTTTTCTTTGAATATCAATGAACCAGCAAACAACCCAAGGGTGATATTGGCTTTAGCAAAATAAAAAATATAAAAAAAAGTCTCCCTCCTTTTTTATAGGGCCTATGTGATATTTATTGCCTGCACCATGATATACTGCATGATAAAATGTAGTTCCCTTTTGCTGTTTTTGTATTGCATTATTGGTGAAAAGGTTTGTTGTATTCTTAAAAGAGATTTGATTCAATATTGCAGAGAAAGCATACAGTATACAAGACTATGACCACAGCCTACCTTCCATATTATACAGTATGCTAATGTATATTTATTACCAATAGGAGATTATGGAAATGATTTTAATGACCAAGATAATAAATATCAATTACATTACCTTAATGAACAAAGCTTAACTTCTTATAGCATTAAATTCCTAAACGAGAGAAGCTGATTGTAGATGCTGTAGGCCAGTCTAGATGTACAGTATAAGACAGACTATCTGTGATGCTAAAACACTTCAGACAAGCTAACAACAAATTCAAAGCCTTGTGTAAAGCTCTTGTTGAAAGGTTCAAGTATTTGCTATGGGGCTCAAGCTTAGAGACTATTGGACAATTGGAGCTCATTACATAACAATGGTATTATTACAACAGCCATTGACAACAAATAACCAGTGAACCGTGACATGGTTGCGAGGTCGACCAACAGTTAATCAAGCATATATTATGTGGTGCCTGTATTTATTTATTTATTTATTTATTTCAAATGTACATAGTATTCTGGATAGAATCATGCTATGCAAAGTTAATCAAGGACATATTATGTGGTACCTGTATTTATTTATTTATTTATTTATTTATTTATTACAACTGTACAGTATTCTGGATGGAATCATGCTATGCAAAAGCTCTGGTTTGAATTTTATTGTGGTACATTAAATCACAAAAATATTACACAGAATACTTAAAAAAGAAAGATTCAATAATTCATAAACACTGTGCATATACTTACGTCAATATAAACAGAAATTATGTTTTGTCACATCATGCGTATGCCTACATTCTTATCTTGTCATCATAATATTTTCTTCAAACAATTTTAGCAAAAATGGGGTCATACCGTGTATCTGGCTTTGCCCTTTAAAACACTTTTTATTCCATATTTAGTGGTGGATATGATTAAGGTAATATATCAGCCAAATGGGGGGAGGGAAGGGGAGGGCCAATCAACAAAATGGGGGTGTGTATCCTTTCTAAAGTAATCAGTATGAAAGTTCATGATAACGCACCTAATATGAGTTATGATTGTGTACATATTAAGCAACGCATGTTGACACACAGTTTAAAAAAAAAAGCTGTCATTGATTTACAGATCTTTTACAATAGAAATAAATAAACCAGCCAATATGTCTATCACATAAAAAAAATATTGGTTTTAGCTTGTAAACTGCACTTCAGTGTAGAATAGTTTATTTAAGGTATACAGTATAGGATTTATAGCACTTATCCTTTTTGGGAAAAAAAATAGCTCGAGGATCTTTTTACTTTAACTGAATACAAAATCAGTCTTGTACAACTACTATTCCTAGTTGCGCAAGTAAACAGAAGGTACGTTCAGACACATGCCATGGATGAGGTACCTTAAGGCAGGTAGAAGCTAATATACTGCTTAACATTCCAAAGTATCAACACTTGATTAACTGACGTTGCGGAACAAGCGGAAGTTGCGGCTGAATTATTCAGATGATGGGAATTTCATAATGCTCTATAATGCAAAACAAAGCATAAACCTATGAAAAACATGTGTACAATTGTTTTACTGGCTTCATTTGTTTCAAATCATTGAAGATGATTACCGTAAATCCTGATCAAACAGCCAGCCAGGTGCAATATAATGGTCAAGAGAGGAAGGTTTGGGGCGTTCCCTTACCTACAGTATCAGAGATCTAGGAGGCTATGCCCCTTAAGCTTTGGAGTTTTAGCCATTTTAATCCTTTACATAAATGAACTTTTGGCTTCTGCCAGAGGAGGGCGACCACTCCTTTTGCCACCCCTTTGCAATACAGTAATTACCAAAAATAATAATTTGCAGCTATACTTTGTAGTTTATACTTTGTTTTGCGAAACTAAATCACCATAGGTACTCTTCCTTGCCCGTTGCAATTTACACATTTAGTGATCGGGACGGAAAGTATGCCATGACTAATAAGCATTGTAGCAGAATATTTTACATGATATATTTAATCATCATTTTATTTCAGAATTATCATTTTATTTCAGTGTGGTATGGTTGAAAGACAAGAAAAAGAAAACTTTGAATGTTAACGATGTGTGGCATGCTACAACTAGGTGCGATCAACAAGGCCCTTGATATCATCAGGGTATACTAGAGAAAGATACAGTATCACAGATAAAGGAATCAAAATCAATACATAGTATAGCAATCATCAAGTTTGCCTAGGCACAAACTGAATAGGAGCTGCAGATTGTGGCAGATGACAGTATAAAGCCTTGAACAGGATGTGAACTGATACAATTATGACAATTGATCAATACGACGAGGATATCAGTTCCAGTGATTTACTTGTTTGCTTACCAAGGAAATCAGAGAAGACCTCCTTGCATTTTTAAAAAGCTGAATGTAATCACAAGACGATCAACTAGATTATGATTTTATATCCGATATTGATTTTTGTTGTTTATTATATTAATTTCAATCTGTCCATGACATGTTGTATACAATTAGGCTGTCTCCGCTCTTGCCATATTTTAAAGGTTTTTAGATTTTTTTTTTTTATATTATGTTATAATATATTTAAATGTGTCTTGGTATAATTTTGATATAAAATAAAACAATATTTAAATTCTCAGTGTTTCATAAAATATAAATATACATGAATTTTATATTTCTTATATCTTTATTTAATAGTACTAAAATGAAATATTGATTTTTCAACATTAATCAACCAATTCCATCTTCAAACTTATTAGTAATTACTGAAAAATTAGGCCTATCAATCCTATTAAAATAATCAAAGAAATTATATATTTGTAAAGAACTATATAGTCATGAGAATATCAACATCTTTTCTGTTAAAGATGAATAAAATCAAAAATTTTAAGATCCTCAATAAACCAATTATATACTGTAACTAACATTATTTTATACAACCAAAGGTTTTAAGTATTTTATTGAGACAAATTGTGCATTATACAAAAGTAGTTAAAACCGGTAATCTGCTTCAAAAAGCAACTGTTACCAACAATAATAAAATAGGCCTAATGTTATTTGCTATTCACCATAAATCACTGAAATCTTAAAATAGTAAAAATTAAGACAGACTTAATTTAATGCCCACCGTGGCCACGACAATTCCAACAAGATACTGTTACAAAAATGCTGATCAATGATGTTACAAAACACTCCAGTGATTAATACAGATACATGCTACCGACCCATACCATTGCTAGATCAATAGAACTTAACCATGTTAGCTCATGGTCTATAGTCTGCAGATCAATAGTATCATTCTTGGCTGCCAGAGGGTTCTGAGCACAAATTCTAATACACATTCTTTGCATGATTCTACATGCTATTAATGTACTACTAAGTATTATTTATTGTCACAGGTTTTTTGTAGAAAGGTTTGAGGGTAAAATAACACGAACACTAAATTAGTAACTGTACAGTACTATAATGATGTCATTGCACTATTTGTACATAAATATTTATACGTGTCCCTTAATTATGATTCTTTTAATGTTCCTGAATTATGGATTATTATAACAGTGTATGTAATATTTACTGCTTTCCATGAAATTATTACAAAGAATAGACCAAAATTAATTACAGTGATAAAATAATAAATTCTATTTAATTTATATGCATTGTTGTTGTTTCATAATTTGGATTATTTTATTTAATTTTTATTTCCATAACTCGAATAAAGCTGAATTTTTAAATCTTGAAAAAAAAGGAATCGTTTAATAATAATATTTAAAATGTATTACTGACTTATTACTAGTTTACTAGTTACTTATTCCACTAGCCATCATCATGTTGAAGACACTTGGCTGTCATTCACCATTAGTATGATTGACATACACAGCCACACTCTCCTTTTTTTTTATTTACTTATTATTTTCTAAACATATTTATTGTGATATTTTTTATTTTTTTAACGTCACCATTTATTTTATTTTATTTTTTTTAAAAGGTATGTGAGTATTATCTACTGTATTCATATTATAGACTCCTCAGCTTACTGAGATTAATGACACCATAATTAGATTACACTCCTCAATGTGATTTTTAAAAAAAAGCATCACTTAAACTACAGATCCTATTAGAATTCATGCTCAAAACAAGGGCGTTAGACTGACTGCATAATACTGTACACATCATTAAATTATAATCAAAAGTAGATGCTGATATGGTCTCAAGGGGTAACCAATATTAAACATAATTATTCTTGGATATTGTTGCCAATTTGCATATTCATTAGATCTGGAGCCAAATGCACTATTATAAGTGTCGCGAACTTGAATTGATATTGGACTCGGTCATGAGTAAAATGTACTCAGCCAAGCAAACAACGGAAGGAAATACTCTTACAATTAGAGTGAAAGAAATAGGTTTATGATTATAAAGTAATTTAATAATCATTAAAATAATAGACCCAGTACAGCCAAATTAATTAGACAAAAAATAAGAACGATACAGTATTAACTGATAATACTGTAATAGGAAAACTTTCACCATCACTATATTAACCACGTTGTTTATTTTTAATAATATATTTTGAATTTTACTACATTTTATTGTATATATGCACAAATGTATTCTCTATTCTGTATTATATGTCCGTGGACGTCGTCAATTTCATTTGCACTGAATTTTCCTATTCCCAACTGATCACTAATTTGATTTAGTACATCCGATTTTTTTCTTGCGCAAAAAGCTCTAAGCTAGGGTGAGTTTACTAAGAGTACATCACGATGGAATATATCGTTGCTAGGCCAAGCTATGAACGCACACACAGCAAACCTAACAAATCTTGCTCTACGGCACTGGTAAACATGAATAAAGCCTAGACCGTCCTAGGAAAGGCCTAGAAAGATTTTCCTTGATTCGTTAATGTACAACATTAATCTAATTCTCTGAATTACTAATATCATAATTATGTATGCAGTACAGTTATTCCTCTTGAGAAGCCTACAGTTGAATGAGTTATGCATGCTACAACAAAGCCAATCAAATGATATGTCAGGATGTTTATATTTTCAATATGAAATGAAAAATGATATATCTAAATTATGTCAGACTAAAGCAAAAATATGATACATTTTGAAAAGGGCAGCAGCATTCAGTTGGTTGTTAATGATTCTCAGACCTCATTATGTAATCTTGAGCACGAGATTACTATAATTGTCTTTGACCAAAATTGCGATCAAGACATTAAATAGACTATGTTCTCACACGGCAGATAATGGTCAGCAGGATCCGGATCCTGCTAACCGTTAGCTGCCGTGCGTCCATACAAGAAAATCCCTATCCGGATACCAAGAATATG